CTGCTTAATTAAGTTGCTCTTCATCATTATTTAATATACATTCTTGGAGTCTTGTTTGTGTTTTTCTATAGCTCAACTTTTTCTAAACTGCATTTATGCAGCTCTGGTATGTTACAATCAACCTAAATTTGTTCCCCTGGTTTGTCTTCCCATTCCTTGTTTTAGCTTATAAATTGTTTAAAGTACAACAGAAGAGCTTAAATATTTGAGGGTTTAAGTAACTTTGAAATAAAATTAAATTTAAAAAAATTTTTACTAAACCACTAATTGTACGCAAATTTGGCGATAACTAAGCCAAGCTGCAATTAAAATGTTTAACCGAAAAACCAGAAAATGGCTTAATCCAAATACTTGGGTACGAAAAACATATATGACAAACATAGAGCGATGCACTAATATAGACGCTCCCGTGCCAATGCACATCGCATTAATGACATTGCAGCGAACTAGAAGTTTTGCTAAAGCAATTAAAGTAATTACCCAAGCGATCAATGTGCACTGAACAAATACGTACATGCGTAATCGTGCCTATACATGTATTTGCTTGTTATATATACTATATACAAAAAAAATTGAAATATCCTGGTACAACCATACCTACAGAGTTAGCTGCCTAGATAGTTGGAGTTCATATAAATGCAGTGAATTTGTGTTGAATGATAAAATGCAAACAACTTTTGCAAGTGATAAACATACACATTAGATACATTTATGTACAATCCTGTTGTTGCAGTTGTGCTTTGCGCTCCGTGCACCCAAAAAGGATTCAATGGCTTTAGTCAATTTTCTGAAAATTGCTCGTTTCACAAACTAATAGCTTGTGCATCCATAAGAATTTTTCGCATAATTTTCTCTGCTCGAAATACTCGTATGTAATTTTGTGTTAAATATAATAAATATACTATTTACATATTTATTGCCAACACTGCAGCTAGTTAACTTTGCGAGTTACACACTCCAACATACACGAATAGATACAATTTTTATGTATATTTCGTTTTAATAAAATATAAATAAACATAACTAAACTCAGTTGAGCAGAATCAAGCTGTGTGTAACAATATAGGACAGAGAAGCACGGAGTGGAGTGCAGTCATCAGGATTTTCACATCATATGAAATGTTTACATAAACAAACTTTTAAGCCAAGTAAGCCAACAGTATTAAATATTTAAAATAAATATTTTTAGTTATTAAATGAGTAAAAATAAATATTAAAATATTTTTGCTCCTACAACACATGTTCCTTTATTAAATTGTTTGCTATAAAGTATTTAAAGTATTTTTATGAAAGTTTTAGTTGACAGTGAGTATATATAATTAGTTAATTGAATTTTATGTGTACATAAATTATTCTAAAAATACTTGGCAAATTATTTCAAAGTATTTGTTTTAATATAGTTGAGTACATAGCATCGTATGTTAAAAGAAATGATATACAATTTCTTATTTCTTTCTACGATCATATTATTGGAATCACATATTCGCCGTCTTTATATAGATCCGTCTAGCCCTGTATTAGCAATGAATTTGTTATTATGACCATTTGAATCACTTTAAAATTCAAATATTACTTCATTTGCTTCTAACTAATTTGTTGTTTGTAAATTATTCAGAGTTATCTGTCAGTTAAAGTAATAAACATTTGCAAAAAGTTGTGATTAATTCAAAAATAGACTTTATTTACTGTTTCTTACTTCTGATAACCAGGAAGAGTTACCTTTTTCCTTTATTGCTTTCAGGTTGATCCTGCAGAAATAATAATATCATTTTTTTTTCTTGGAAAAATCTAATCTTTGGAAAATGCAAGGTTTGAACATCCAAATATAGTTTTGAATAATAAGTTCCATTACCTTAATATTGTTTTACGTTTGGCGTTCTTTATTAAACTCATTTAACAATACACAACAATAGTGCCAACTTAATAAACTTAACTACAGTGTGTACTTTGAATTATTAAATATGAAATACATAGGGTGTTTATATACAACACCCTCTAACAGAGTGTTTATACAACAAAGATTTAGACTGGAACGACTGAATAGATTTCTTTCACAATTAACTGTATCCCTCAGCATTGACTAATTTTTACGAACTTATCTTTGAAAACAATCAGTGTGTTTGTAGGTTAAGTTAATCTTAGAGTGCGGGTATTGATGCAATAATTACCTCCGGCTATTGGTATTGGTGTTAAGTTTGTAGGTTAAGTTAATCTTAGAGAGCGGGTATTTATGCAAACACCAATACCAATAGCCGGAGGTAATTATTGCACACTGTGATGCCCCAAAATTAGCCAGGAGACAAGCTATGCTAACTATTGGTTACAAGCTTAACTCCATGCTATATCTTTGTTAAACTATTTGTTATGGAACCCCGACAAGTCTACTTTAATGAACTCTGCCAATACAGTGAAGAAACCGTTTCTTAGACATTGGATTTGTCTCGGAGGAAGATATAGAAAATTATTAGTAGTTTTCATCTACTCGTGGCAACTACTGCATTTTCCGCTTCTTGGAATGTGTCAAAGTTTAAGCTTTGGTGCAATAGTGTAGTTGACCATTAATATCCCAATAAGCATACGACCTGAATATTTGATAAATTATGATAACTCCAATATAAATTTTGTTTTTGTTATATTACCGAAATTGGAAATTTTAAATGATTTTGACCATTCTAGTCTATTACACTTTAGAAACATTACAGCAACCTCACAGTCTACGTAAGGACAACATTTTTTTTTCATCATCATTGGCCGAAATAATTCATGTGTCGAGGTCTATGTTAAGGTATCGTTCTTATTTATATCCATTTCGGAGAGTCTCATCTATTAGTTCATTTTGTACGACTTATTTATAACCAGAGACCCAAAAAATATTTTTCAGTGCGGTACGATATTTCATTACAATCCCTGATTTAAACATACTGTATTCAATTCATTTCATTGCTTCTAGACTATCTATAATAGTAGTAACATTCGTAGGTTGACGGGCACTAGTTTGTAAAAATTTGAGTACTTTTTTAAGTGCGTATATCTAAGTTCACAATTATACCCCATAAGAATATGTGAAACGATATGATGCTGTCGTGCCGCTTTTTTCCTTTAAGCCACCTTTATATATGACAACTTCGAAGCTGCCTATCACAGTTGCGACATCCATCCCTGGTTAACTATCAATGATTAAATAAAGATTTGGAACTTTAGTTTCAAGACCTGGATAGATATCATTTATTCTGTAGCTGATCCCAAATGAGCTTGGATTAAACTGATGTCTGATGATTTCTAACTGATGTCAAGTATTAAGTTTTGTGATAAAATTGCATTTGCAAAACTATATAAACAAATTAAATGATTTTTCCTTTCATAAATTATTATTGTTATTTAGGTATACATTTGATGATACTGCATTCATTACAAAATAAACACTCACAAAAACCTTTTAATTAAATTTTAACGAATTTCTAACATTAAAATTGGTACATTTTCGCGCCATTGTCAGGTAATGGGTTAACATATATTATATGTATATGTTTAGTAAAACAAACAAAAGTCAAACTAATTGTTACAGAACCAAGGATGTCAAAAAAAAAGAAAATAATAATATCACAAAAAAAAAACTCGAAAAATCCGAAAATGGTCACATATAATTTTGCAAAAACTGTTTGTATGTAACATCAGTAAAGCTATTTCCCATGTCATATTTATTGTTTTATATTGCGATTTGAAAAATAGTTAATTTAATTGAATTTCAAAGTCCGTTTTGATAAAAGAAACTAAATTCTTAATATAAAATATCGTTTCCAATAGAGAGGTATTTCGTATAGTATTAAAGCACAACAACAAAAATTAATTTTATATATTTTTAATTAATTGAAATTTTGGCTGACCATACAGCTGTTTCAAGTATTGCCAAATACCCATCATCAGTGTTCCTGGAATTAAATCTTGTATTTAATAATTCGTAAATAATTTTTTGAGAATGCAAGTACCAAGAGTTGAACTTGTACCCTTCAATATTTAAAGCTCATAATCAGCTTTCAATAGCCAACTGATCCAAAGCCGTACTTGACTTGTATGCTCGCATTTTGGAGTTTTGTTAATTTGCTGTGATAGTTCATTAACAAATTAACTTGCTGTGGTTTATTAGAACAAAATCATAAAACATCTGCAAAATAATTAAATTAATTAATTTTATTTATATGTTTAATTGCTAAATTTCAGTGTTATTCTTTTGTAGAGGCATTATTTATTGCATGATTTTGTTTAATTTGTATATTTATTTGAATAGTTAATACAAAATCAATAATTGAATTTAAATTTAATTTCGGTTCTGTTGATAGAGGGAAACTAATGTCAACATAGTGATAAATTTACTTTATTCCTATTTGTTAATACTTCCTAATGTGCTGCAAAGAAAGTTTCTTTGTTGTCTACATTTACTACATAAGAAACACTTTAAGTTCCTTCTTTATGTGCACAGATTCAACCCATTAGAATTGGGACAGTTTATTTATGTTGCATGCAATATTTTAAATTATTTTTCTCTTAAATAGAGAAATATATCTTTCTCTTATGGAACCTCAAACATCTCAAAATATTTTTACATTTTAAGAAGTTTCCTTTTTTTTATTTTCATATGAGTATTTCAGTATTCCTTAGTTTTTCTGAAACATGGTTTAGTTTTTGATGGTTTGGTGTTGAATTTTCTTTCAATCTCTTCAGAAATAATATAATATTAATCAAAACATAGAAATCAAAAAAATCAAGAAAAATAATATTGTATATAGGTAGTTTTAAGTAGCAGAACTATTAGAGAAG